AATAAATATTAAAATACAAAATATAATAAATGTTATATATTAAAGTACACATGAATATATGTAGTTGGAAAATTTGGACACTCTACCACTAAAGCTAAGAGAGATATAATTTTATAACTGATTTTCAATGAGGAAATAAACGGATCTTCAAAAAATATTTCTAGTCACGAGACTAATATTTTCTGAGATCGATGCGCTCACATTTAAGGTCAGGCGGGCGGCTAGCTCATCGCCCTGATTGGGAATATAACTACTTGTTGCCTGAAATATATGTAATATATATTTCAGCATATCCAATATACCCTCATTTCCCATTTTCAATAGGTTCTGGATATACAAGTATTTTTGTATCTAAGATCTACGATCTTTTTCAGTCTAGGATCTACTTCAACGTGTTTCATGGCGCTTATACATTCAAGGACCATAATCTGTTTTTTCTTTTCTTTCACATAGGAGAGGATAAAATATAAAAGATCTGGCCTCCTCTTCTCCTATATGTTTGCCTTCTTCTCTCATGCATTCTATTTCTGTTACCTTTCTCTCGTCAATAGTCTTTTCTTGCCTTCTCTGTGATTGTTGTTCCGTCTGCTTTCTTCAGCTTTCTTCTTTTTTCTTGCCTTATGTTCTTTACTCTTTTTCTTTCCTCATCTTTGGCTGCTTTCTTTCCCTTCTCTTGTATTCTATTTCTGTATTTCCTTTTGCATCTTCTTTTCCTTTCTCCACTTTTACTTTCTTTCCCTACATTTCGCTTCACATTACTTCTCTTGTGTTCTACTCTCTATTCTTTTTTCCTTCCTCACTCATAATATTTTTTCTATATTCAGCGAAACGATTCAACTGCATTTTCCGCTTTCGGGCGAAAGAAAAGAAACAAAGAGGTATAACCACGAGTGCAAACGCACATATTCAAGATTTATGAAGACTTTTGCATTTTTATTTACGATGCGAGAACAAGCAAACAGGCAGACGTAAGCCGGGCGCACGTACATAAATTCGCGTTAGCCTCAGGTCGTGCGGCTCCTTTTTGGCTGGCCTCAAGGCGAGGGATTGCCTTTAATTGCAGTCCAGCTCCAGCCTGGGCTTCAGCTTGTGTTTCAGTTTAAGTTTGAGTCGTAGGTTTGGGCTGGGGTCTGTCGGGTCTGGGGCTGGGCTTTGGGTTAGGGTTTGGTGTCGGTTGCAGATTCGGTTTCAGTTGTCCTCTCGCAGCTAGCCACAAATGTTGCCGCGCCATTAAGCGCAACGCTGGCAGCGACGCCAGCAGCGCCTGCGGTGTCAACTGCGATGCCGGCCTTGGCGACGCGACGCTCATAAAAAAGAAAACAAGAAAAACGAAAAAGGAAAAAAAAAAATCAAATCGACGACACGCACAGAGTAGGAGGCGTCGTCCGACAACTGAGCCGGGGCAGGCAAGGGGTCAATGTGTGCGTGTGTGTGTGCGTATGTGTGTGGGCGTGGGCGTGGCTGCCTTGTGCTAGTTTCCGTCTGTGCAGGCAGACAAAATGTTAGCTTGCCACAGCTGCGGCCTCATTTCATGGATGCTGCTAAACACTGAAGCTGGCAAGGCGACCAAGTCCGAGTGCAAGTCCGAGTCCAAGTCCGAGTCCGAGTACGGTTCCGAATCCGAGTCGGACTCTGTCCAAAGTCGAGTCGGAGGCGTGTCGCTTGTGTCTGCCCGTCGTCTGTCTCCATATATCCTGCTGTTAGCTGGCATTGTCCTTGCTGCTGCAGGCAGCGCTCGGCGAGCAGCGAACTGCGAACTGCGAGCTGCGCGCTGCGCGCTGTCAGCTGTTAGCTGTTAGCTCTTGGCTGTTAGTTGGCCACGTCCAACGCCCAAAACTCGATTTCATTTGCACTTTCCATTTCGTATGCGTCCAGACAACATGTCTCCTAATCTGCCAATGCCCTGCATCCACTCCGCTCGGACCGCCTCGCCCTCGCCGTCGCCGTCGCCCATCGGTTGGTTCGTCCATCTCAAGTGCCAAATAATATGTGAATAAGCGCGTGTGCGTGCGTCGAATAACAATCGGCAGGAGCCAAGGGAAACGGGCACTCGTATGCGCATTCATGTTTATAAAAGAATGATTATCATCGCCGGAGATTTGTTTTCTCCGCCCCGGCATTTCCTATTCTCCTTTGTATTATTGATGGCGTTTTGATGCCAAAGCGTGTGAGAAGATGTTTGATATGTGATCTTATGGATCTTCTAGGTGGTCAACCCATTGAAAATGGGAAATTGGGATTGTGAAAATGTATGTAACAGGCAGAAGGAGGCGTGGTAGAAACCTAAAGTATATTCTTGATCAGAGCGACGAGTTGAGTCGATCTAGCTATGCTTATCTGTGCGTGCACATCATACGCAATATGAGTTTATCATATTTCTTCGTAACTCATCCCACTTTGTTTTTATCGATAATAATCGATAATTGGACTTTAAAAATTGCAATATTATGCTATTTAAGAACTATATGTAATGAATCGGCAAAGGTATAGAGCTTTGGGACAATTGAGTACTTGCAATAATATTTCCATGCGCGACTTATAAGCAAATTGCGTTCAACTGATGAATGATGATTAACGACTAATCGGCATTTCTATCAAATAATCAACGAGAATGCAGCTTCCATAATAATCATTCCTCAATCAAATTAGCCAAAAATGAGACTTGGAAATATTTTATAGAGAAAAACAAAAGGCTCAGAATAGAATTGTCTATAGCTCGAACGGTAAGTTTATAAACGCATATTCAATTAAATAACGATTTTAGCTTCGAGCAGGGGCGTAACGAGGTTGTCGATAATGGGAAGTCGATTCTCCCCTCTCGCTACGTCACTGGCTTCGACTGAATGCAAATACAAAATGAGCATGCAAAATCATAAGCTATATAACACTAATTACCAAATCGCAATTAAAACTTCACAAACCCCTCAAAAGAGATATGAGAAACATGGCTGAAATGGCAAGTCAATAGAAACTTGTATGGTCCATCAATCTAGTATTCTTCGTAAATGACATATTAGAAATTAGAAAGGCGAGGAAATAGTAATCGTCGACTAATGCCGTTGCCATGTCAATCTTGCTCTGTAGTTGGCCCTGTAAGGATAATACTCTACTGCTTAGCACAAGGGACACCAGAGCATTGAATCAGGGAGTAGTTACAATAGTTGATTCAAACTGAAAACCAGTTTAGTATGGGTTCTCTAAATGAAATGAGTATGAAGTGCCTTTGGCTAGCCTAATACAGATATAAAGGCGGTAAAAATATGAGCATTTTGGAAGAGTATATATCTTAAGTGCTATGAGATATTCATATACTCTTCTAGTACTCTTCTAGTACTCTTCTCAACAACTATGAGATATATACTCTTCTACCTAAAATTCAATGAGACAAATATTCTTCTATCTCAAGGACTATGAGATACATATGTACATATTGTATATACTCCTCTAGACTCTCCTCAACAACTATGAGATATATACTCTTCTATCCAAGTACTATAAGATACATATATACTCTGCTATCTCAATTACCATGAGATATACACTCTTCTATCTCAAGTACTGTTAGAAATATAATCTTCTATCTCAATTACTCTGAGATATATACTCTCCTAAATTTCTAATATTTTTTGATGTACTCAATGAGCACGTTGCAAATTGGTAAATTTAATATATTTATTTCTCTGACATCAATCAAGTCTGGTTGGTTAACGCTTTCTATTTCTAGTTCCACATATATTTCCCATTGATTTTTGAAATATTTTCGTATCTTGAGCGAGTATTTGGCAGTCGAATGCGCCCGACAGCTGTAGGCCGTGAACACTTGCTTTGTGGGTTAGTAGTTCAGCCTCAGGTGGCTGGCATAAAGGCCCAGTGCTGGCGAGTACCCCTATGCGACCCGCTTGGGCCGTGAAGATCCCAACTTGAATCACTCGAGTGGCTGGCTGGACAGCCCCCGAAATGAAACGAGAATGTTTCCAGAGCAATGTCAGGCGATTGTTTTTGTTGTGCTTCGAGTGCTTTGCCTTTGGCTTTGTTTGCGTTAGCACTCGAGCCATTCGAGCCATTCGAGGGGGTCGAATTTTTGGTATTGGGTCGAGGCTTGCTCTCACTGTTGCCATTGTCAAGAGGCGACAGATGATGCAGAGGCGTGGTCGGGGTCGGGGTCGTGGTGACCGGACAGGGGACAGGGGACAGGGGCGAGTTAATAAATACGAGTATACGGCACTTACTTGATATAAATGAAAGCACAAGAATCATATCTATGGTCACTTGAAACCACTTCATCTCATTTCCCTCTGCGCGCTGGTGTCGAGGGCGTTCTGGGGCGTGGCAGCGACCTTGTTGTTGCTGCTGTTACAGTTGTGAACAGAGCTGGTTAATAATGTTGTTTGTTGTTATATTTGTTGTTATTGTTGTTGCAGATGTTGTTGTTGTTGTTGTTGCATTTGTTCTCTGTTGCAAGCTTCTCTGTCTCGATTTGGTTGTTGTTTTTGTGCGTTACATGCATTTCAGTTGTTGTTGTTGTTGTTGTTTATTTGGCAGCATTTATTTACATGTTTATTAGAACTCATTTTCCATTGTCACATAATTTTCAACGATTTACTGGGTTTATGCCCATTGTGCATTGTTCTAGCTTTCAGTTGTCGTCGATAAATTTATATAATTAAATTAGTTGCATATTCGTTTGTTTGTTGGTTTGTTTGTTTGTTTGTATGTATATCTATTAAGTCACTACAACATATACATATATGTACTATATATACTAGACTTCTTTTGTTTTATTTATTCCGTGTATATATATCTTGTAAATACATATATTTGTTTCTTGGCAGTATTCGATTAAAATTCTTTAAATGGGATTTCGCTTTTTCCTGGCCAAGTGTTGCCTCTGTTGCTGTTGCAGCTGTTGCTGTTGTTGCTGTTGCTGCTGTTGTTGCTTCTCCTGTTGATGCCCGCTGCCCTGGCCTTTGTTTCATTCTCTGCCGGCCCTTTCTGGCTTTTGCTGCTATCAACTTTTTGCTAGCTCTGCAAATGAGTAGAAATCAAATTAATTAGTGCTTTATAATTGTTGTTTGTCATTAAGAATATTTCACTCATTGTTGTTCGAGACGAACAAATTTCACAAGAATTAACGAGATTTGCCCATAAAAGGTCACTATAAAATTCAAAAAAATAACAAAACACTGATCATGGTCGACTGCCAAATACCCTGCCTTACCCTGCAGGCGACCTGATACAACTAGAGCTGCCACAAAACCTGCCACATCCCCTCAGCTATTTGTCGCTTCGTCTCTTACAGAGCATTCCAAGAACTTTCTGCTTAATCATTTGCCTTCCTTTCCTTTCCTTTCCATTTTCTTTTATGGGTATTGTTGCTGCAAAAGTTTGTGAAAATTTCAAATGAGCTGCTTTCGGGCATCACTTGGTTCGCTTTGGATATCCTCTTTGGCTTGGATACCCTCCCTGCCTAGGCTACACTGTGCTACACTTTGACGGGTCTGGATAAAGCAGATCAACAGGATTGAGCGAACTGAAGTCGAGCTGAGTGTGAAGTGTATAAAGTACAACAAATTCGGAGAAATTGTGAGAGCGAACTCAACTTGACGTACAATTTATAAGTGAGAATAAAATATATTTCCAAAAAATTACAAAGGGTTGTCAAATGTCTATTGTATATAAGTAAATTCAGAATATATAAATGTTCTAATATCCGTTTCAGAGATGCCTTCGTCTATCTGTCTGTTTGTCCACCTGTCCACCTGTCCATCTGTCCACCTGTTCATCTGTCCACCTGTCTAGCTGTCTAAGCTGCCTCCTTATGCAAACTAGTCTCTGGAATTGTAAATTTCTGGATAGCCCTCACTCCACGCTGATGGGATAGTAGGGCTAAGGGTATTTCAGAATTCGTTTGAGCCAAATAATCTCTCCCTCTTGTGCTTTGTTCGTCTAGTTGTTCAACATTTTCTTATGCAAATTCATTTTAATTATCATTTTGCGTTTTGCGTTTCTTTTGGGCACAAATTGAATTGTTTGGCGACAGCACAGAGCAACAACAACAACAACAACAAAAACAAAAGTATATACGACAAAGCGAGAAAGAGGGTAAAGTTTTTTCAAGAAACATTACAAATAATAAAAATTGTAGGAAAATTACTTTTTTTTTTAGCTTTATTAATTTTTTTATAAAATATAAGAATAAATATATTAAAAAATGAAAAATTGTTCCAGGCTCATAAACATTTTGTGAATTTCAATTTGTTTACGTGGCTCAAAGGCGCTTTTGGGCTTGTGCTCGGGTTTCCTCTTGGCCAAAATCCCCCTCCGCCCCCAGCGAAAACCGCCCCCGCCCGCTTGGCAGTGACATGCGGGCCGTCAGCTCACCTTAGCCATTGTTACGCATAATTTAATTTATAATTCGAGGCTGAGCGTGCGCTAAGCCCCCGACTTAATTGTCCTTTGATATAGCCTAGATGAAAATGACTGCCCGGGACGGGCTGCTGAGCCGCATCAAATGTTCATTTGGCTGGATATTTCACATCATTTGCACAAGATTTGCGAGTCGAATGGGGGCGGGGCAAATAGTGAGCAGGGGGCGGCGCACGGCAATCGAGCTTGAACGCTCTTAATGTGATCTTAATTGCAGCTCAAAGAATCGATCAACTGCCAGCGTTGCCAGACAGTTTTACAATTTAATTATCGCCAGAGCGTTTAAAGTTGCCCCCTCCTCCTGGGCAGCTGCTGTGAAATGAGCATTGGAGGCGTGAAAAGCATTTCGGAAGTAATTTGGGAAAATGTCATGCATGCAACGTGGCGTTGTCGTCGGAAAACGCGACCCCGCTGCCAGCCCAGTCAATGCTGCCAAAGCACCGGCCCTCCACGAGCTGTCAAATATTTAAAGGAAGCCCCACAGTGGCCTGCAGCCAGCCAGCCAGCCAGCTAGGCAGCCAGCTAGGCAGGTGGCATGATGCGAGCTACGACGACACGTTTCTGATGCAACAAAAGATGCCAAGTGTCAATTTAAGCAGCCGTTGCCTAAAAAGAAAAATATCGCAGAGGGCAGGCTCGGCGAGCGAGACGCCAGCACAGGCAACTGTGCCCGGGGGCACCCTACCTTGCCTTAGCTTACCTTACCTTGCCTCTGTTCCTAGTTGCTATTCCCATTCTTGAGCTCATCTTCCAGCTCATTCTTGTTCGCATTGTCATTCCCGTTCCCCTTCTTATTCCCGTTGCCTGCTCACGTTCACGTTCACGTTCATGTCCTCGTTCGTCAGCCCCTTCCCCTTCCCATTTCCACACCCACTCCCGCTCCCGCTCCCATCTCCATTCCCATCCCCACTCCTGCTCGACGTGCTCGCCCTGGCACTTGAAGCAAAAAGCCAACGTTGACAGCGTTTAAGACGCTCGCTTGGGCATTGTCCTTGCGTGCCTGACTGGCTGCCTCAGAGGCTGCTTGGTTGACAGCGCAAGGCTTCGCTTTCGCTTGTCCTGACCTGTTCCTATCCTCGCCTGTTGTCTTTTCATATTAAATGCATTGCAAAGACACGAACAGAGACGAAAATTGAGAAAGCGAAAAATTCGATTTTTCGTCAACGGCGGCTGACAACTTCCGTTAGCAGCGCAACAATGAGCGCCACCCAGTCGTACAGTGGGCCCCCAGTGGCAGTGCCAGCGCCTGTCCCAGTCCCAGTCCCAGTGCCAGTGCCAGTGCCAGTCATTCAGCAGTCATGACAGCTCTCCCGCCCCAGTCACCCCCCAGTCGCCCGCCAGGGCTTGGCCCGCAACCTTCCAGCCGACATCCTCTCAACCTTTGGCCCCCTCTACCCTCTCCCCTCTCTTTGCGTCGCCGCTCATTATGAGCGCTCATTAGGCGGCGCTCGCGGCATGCCAGTCAAAGAGGCACGACCCCAACAGCAACAATGTATGAGCCGTTATATTGTTGTTGTTGTTGTTGTAGTTGTTGTTGCTGCTGTTGCTGCTGCTGGTGCCGTTTTTATTGTAGGCCATGAAACGTCGCGCCGCCCCGCTTTGGGCATAGCATTTATTCATGCAACTTGCAACGCTTAATATTTGATGAATCGCCGCTTTGGCGGTCAAAGTTTCATCCAGCTTGATCTATATGCATAAAAGACTTTTTACTGATTGGCTAATTGGTAATCAGCCGGCGAAGCAGATATTTTCCTTCAGGAAAACTCATTTGCAATGCATTAAGAAAACAGTCAGCAAACACAGATCCATTAGCCTTGGACTAAGTATTAGAGACACTCGCATCTAGTATATGAATGTTGATCTGAATAGGACGCGGAATAGGTCTAGGGAAAACTCAAGGCCACAGATTAAAGATAATTGAATTATTGAATCACTTTTATGGGATCTGAATTTTAAATTGGAGTTGTAAGAGGGCGAGCGCTGAAGGAAAGAAGAAATGAAACCTAAAGCGGTCGGACGTTGCTCTAATATCTATTTACCCCTTAATCCGTAGAAAAAACGTGCAGATTGTAGTCATATCCAAGTAGACACAATGAACAACATTAATATTCGTTTTTTTATTTTCAACTTTGACTTCAAACTCCCATGTAATATTAATTGAAATTAAAAAAGTGTAAATGATAAATTGTACATTTAAAAATTAAATTACCTTTCCAATGAGGTATATATCAAGGATGTACAGTCGAGTCCCGATAACTCGAAATGGCAAAGGGATCGGTTTTTTTTTCAAACTACACAGAGATTTAACTTATCGAGAATTATCGAGAACGAACTTTTTTTCAAGGGAATAGAATTTGTTTCGACTTATCGTGACTTTTTATGAAGCTATGAACAAATTATCGTGACTCGACTATATGTTTATATGAATGTCTGATTTTTTTATGCAAGATGAAATATGCAGCGTATTTCAAAACAACTTCCTTTTAACTGAGAACAAGTCTGAAAGCAGATTTACATATTGATGACATTTGGTTTGTTACAAATAATAATTCGAATAATATAGATCTGGTATCACATTAAATTATTATAGGCACAGGTCTTAAATAGCTTATGGACTAAATCGACATTGAAATCCCTCATTTATGCAACTCAAAGTGAGTTTTGCGGCCAATTCGGTTCACATTTCCCATTTTTCTGCTGTGCATGAGGCAAAAGAAGTTGACCTCTCGCATCTGAGCTGCTCTCAGTATCCCATTCGCTGGCGCTGCTGATTTAGCTATTATTACATGCATATTTTGTGTAATGAGTGCGATTAGCATTCTCAATGAAGTGTGGCTAACAATGTGCTCGGCATTTCTAGCTAGACAATTTCTGCTGCTGTTGTTGTTGTTGCTGTGTCATCAGCATAATCAACATTTCAAATTGAGCGCCACTATTAGCTGTGCTACTCACGTACAGCCCTAGTCTCTCTATCTCTCTATCTCTATCTCTATCTCTATCTCTATCTCTATCTCTATCTCTATCTCTATCTCTATCTCTATCTCTATCTCTATCTCTATCTCTATCTCTATCTCTATCTCTATCTCTATCTCCATCTCCATCTCTATCTCTATCTCTATCTCTATCTCTATCTCTATCTCTATCTCTANGCAAGTGCGGCGCAAGCTCATCTTAGCCCAGTTAATAGAGAGAGCGAACACACTAAAAAAAAGAAGGAAAATATAAGCTCAGCTGCCGCTGCTGCTGCCTCGACCCAAATGTCATCGAAATGGCGCTGAGTTCAAAAACAAAGCGCATGGCCCCAATATGCAGAAGCTGCGCAAGATTAACTAAGCAAAAGGCAAACAGAAGTGCAGCTGAATCTAGTGCATAGTAGGGAGTGCACGGCTAGGGTATACCCGGCCAGCAAATGTCAGAGATTTATACAGGACTTTGTAGTTCCTATCCATACATTTCTAATCTACCTCTACCTCTACCTCTACCTCTATCTCTATCTCTATCTCTATCTCTATCTCTATTTCTATCTCTATCTCTATCTCTATCTCTATCTCTATCTCTATCTCTATCTCTATCTCTATCTCTATCTCTATCTCTATCTC